TGACCAAAGGGAGCCAAATGTGCGATGAAATGGGGTTAAACGTCGCGTCCAAGATTATTGCACGTGCATGCACGTGTGTGTATGCTTGTACTAGTCCGGTGATGCTGATTTATAGTGCTAGCACACTACCATGCAACAGTTTAACATGAATATCCCACTCAGACACAGTATACTGACTCCGAGTCGACCAGTCCTTGTTTTAGCCCCTTAATGTCAAGCGCCAGACAGGGTAACAACAAGTACCATCTTTTAACGTCTTTTGGTATGACGCGGTCGGGGATCGAACCCCGGACCTTCCGCTCTCCGGGCGGACGCTCTACCACTAGACCACGGAGGCGGTAATATTGCCGAGTGCGACGTTAAACGACAAATAAACAAACAAACAATAGATAGGTATGCTACAAAATTTCTTCGCGTCGCGTTGATCCTTCAGATCATATTTGGAAAAAGCTTATGCATAGCGTTGTTCAAGCTCCTCACAGCGATAGTACGTTCCCGGAGCTCTCTATACTATCGCTGCCACCAGTCAAAACTCCCCACTGTGAATAGGTGGCCACAACCATGCTTGGAGTTGAACTCGCAACCGAATGACCGTTATGTTTACAAACAAGTGACGACTGTCGTGACGCCGAATACACTTATCGATGCTAAATTACTCTCTTCGTTTGTCAATTTGAATTTCTGTTTCATTAAAACTATCGTATTATTGATGTAGTAAGAATGTAAGGGAGAAGTTGGTTGATTTTCCGTTAGTCTGCAATCTCGAACCAATCTGATTATCAAAACAAGAAAGTAAATTCATCTGGAAAACATTGTCAGTCGTAAACCTTTTCAAATTGAAATATCATGGCATTCCCAAAGACATAAACAAAAGTATAAACGTTACTACATATTGGGTTGGAGGGCAAATTTCAAGATTCTTGTAATGGCCGCGCCCACACTGGTGGCAGCGATGTTACCGAGAGTGTGTCACGCGCTGGGAAGGAGCTTGAGCGTTGTTGGCCGAGGGGAGACAATTCTGTCTAACTTTATATTTTCCGGAAGAGTCACTGCCCTTGACACAGAGCGTGATTGGTAGCTCGTTTCTGGTGGTTATGTGTGGTGGGGGGGGGGGGGGGGGGGGTGGGGGGGGGGGGGGGTGGGGGGGTGGGGGGGGGGGGTGGCCTGACTACAAATACCTGTCTCCGGGGACTAGTGGACAGAGGGTAACTGACAAGCGTGGCGACGAAGCAACTTTTGGCAGTGGGTATCAGTGTCGACAAGTAGGGAATTGCTCAGCTTAGTAAATCATGGTTGTCAACACTTAGGTACGGTGGCCCATAAGGGACATGGAGTCTGTTTTTTTCCATATTTTGATATTTCCACCGCGGTGATAATATTATCACTGCGATGGGAATATTATCACCGCGGTGGAAGTAGTTTTCTGTATTTTCATTTTAGTTTTTGACATTTTCGCTTTTGTTTTTGACCTTTTCGTTTTTGTTTTTGACATTTCCATTTTAGTTTTTGACATTTTCGCTTATAATTTCAGCGATTCAATAGCTACTTGAATGTACATTTTACAGTTGTTTTTCGGTTGTTTTTATGCATGATTTATCACATATTTGTATGACAAATTGTGTTAATTTGCAAAAGGTTACGATAAATGTAAGTGATATATCAAAATATTGAAAAACAGACTCCATGTCCATTATGGGCCACCGTACTTAGGGAACTGATAATGCCAATCAAAACAGCAGTATATGTAGTTGACAACTTGACAGTCTATATTCTTTGCACGTACATATTTTGTTTGTTGTTGTTTATCGCTGCACTCAACAATATTCCAGCTATATGACAGCGGTTCTGTAAATAATCGAATCTGGACCAGACAATCCAGTGATTGACACCATGATCATCGATTACGTGGGATCAATGACACGCAACAACAAGGTCAGCGAGCCTGACCATCCGATCCCGTTAGTCGCCTCTTACGACAGGCATCGTCGCCTTTTACAGCAAGCATTGGGTTGCTGAAGACCTATTCTACCCCAGATCTTCACGGGTAGTCCAGACAAGTACCAGCAGCCACACACACACACACACACACACACACACACACACACACACGAACTACTCTGGAACGCGGCGTTAAACCCCATTTCATCAATCTTCACCTGAGGACAAATTACATTTTTCCTGTGTGTTCTGGAGCCATTGTTTACATACCCCATCTACGTTAAATTACGGGCACAGCTTTGAACATTATTTCAGTTATATCACGACCTGTCAGCTTGATGATGGGTGAAAGCCCCACCATTTACATTGTGCAGCCTAGCTACTTCGTAATTAATCTATCATGAAGTGGGCACTTATAAAGATTTGTTATCAAGTCCTGCAAGGTTTAGTTATTATGACGTCACACCACATTTTTTAACAAGCTATATCACTAGTCAGATATAGAGAAGCACCCAAGCTGTCTGTTGGCCTGCAATTTGAAGCTGAGTTCTAGATATCGTTTATTTGCCTACAATATATCGCCAAACTCACTTTGGGTATTGTTGTAACCGCTCTGAGTTTGGTGGCGTATAATTTTTAATATCTCTATTTTAAAATGTCTTCATACTATGTGACAAAAAGGACATTTCTATCAATATTCATTTCCGCATCAAATCACCTGTTTTAATCAGGTGGAGATTTTTTAAAAATTAATGGAATACTCTAGAATGCTCAATAAAACTCGCAGATTGAAAACATGCAACGTCTATCTCCTGACTCTCAGCCAGTGTGGAGAAAAGAAAAACTGAGAAAAAAAACAGTATTTTTAGAATGTTGGGAGTTTTGTTTGAAATCAGTGAAGAGGCTGTTTTCAGAACTTTAATTTTGTTCCATATTTGAGAATTTCTCCAAGGAGTTGCAAACTGACGACTATAACACATATATGGATATTTCGTATATAAACAAACAAACATATAGTTACTACTAGACCCGTGAATGTCCGGGGTAGAATAGGTCTTCAGCAACCCATGCTTGCCGTAAAAGGCGACTATGCTTGCCGTAAAAGGCGACTAACGGGATCGGGTGGTCAGGCTCGCTGACTTGGTTGATACATGTCATCGATCCCAATTGGGTGAATCGATGCTCATGATATTAATCACTGGATTGTTTGGTCAAGACTATTATTTACAGACCACCGTCATACCGTCAAACCAATGCTACACCTGGGGTTTTCGGATGAGAAAAGAGTGTGTGTTTGTCGTTCGTGGATCGGATGGTCAGGACTTGGTGGATTGCGTGTCATCGTTCCCCGACGGCTTGGGGCGTTGTTCATACTATCAGTCACTGGTTTGTCTCGCCCAGTTGATCGGCATGTGTGTTGAATAACCCGAAATAATATAAAACAGTTTCTTCGATGATTCATTTTTTGTATCCCTAGAGTCGGTAAGATATCATTTATTAATCAAAATATTTCTTCTACTAGAAAAAATCTCTCAACTCTATAAATTAACACAATATGGCTTAGGTTAACCCTACGTATGTGAAAAAAAAATATTTGTTCAGGTTTACGAAGGCCTGTTAGGGTCCAAATATTATGGAAAAGACATGGGGGGGGGGGGGGGGGGGGGGGGGGGATTTTTTATAACGAAAATAAACTCGTTATTTCGACATTAATTAAATTCTTCACAACAGAAGAAAGATTAATTATTAAGGACAAAGATTCGTTGGAACGAAAATATATTTGTTACAACAAGATTATATCCGTTATAACGAAATTATTACGGAAGAAAATTCGGTTCACAGAAAAAAAAGTCGTCACGAAAGAAGATGCGTTATAACGAAAATATATTTGTTATAACGAAAATAAATGACATCCATCAGGCAAGAGCCTCGCATTCACAGACGCATGACAACACAGATCAATACTTGCAATAAGTAAGAATGCACCCGTGAACACCCGGGTTAGAACTTGTTTATCGCAAGAGGCGACTAACGGGATCGAGTGGGCGGGCCCACTGACTGGTTGATGCATGTCATCGTTTCCCAATTGCGTAGATCGATGTTTATGATGTCATTCTGGTCCAGACTCGATTATTTACAGACTGCCGTCATATAACTTGCTTATTGGTGATTGCAGCGTTAAACAACAAACAAAACTAAGAATGGGGACTTAGTTTAAATATCGATCTGTGTGTTTATTTGCGTTATAACACAATGTGTTTTCGTTATAGCGCATCTTTTTTCGAAATAACGAACCTTTTTCCGTAAACCTGAAATATTTCCGTTATTAAACTTATTTCCGTTATAACGAATTTTTGTTAACTCTAACAAATATATTTGGGTTATGACGCATCTTTTATCAGAAATGACAAATATATGTTTTCCGTTATACCGAATTTATTTTCTTAATAACGAATTTATTTTCATTATAACACATATTTTCCCCGGTAATGACGAAATGTTTTGCGTTTTCCATATTTCAATAAACAAACAACTAGCCTATGAAAACACTTCTTTTAAATAATTGTGATATATTGTTTTCGAAAGAACCTTTCCTCCTCTACTGTGGAAACAAAAAGTGGTTTTGTGGTTATTTTATTATTTATTTTACAAAAGAAATGTCGGGCTATAAAAGAAAACCAACTGCTGTTCATCTCACAATAATCACACAATTCAACACAATGTTTGTAAGGAAAACAAAAAAAGTCAGAAAGAATTTGGTAAAAGTATCTTTGTAAATATCAGGGCGTTGACTGTAAGGAGGTTTTCTCCGGAATAAAGTACAACAAAAAATGTTTTACATATAAATAAACACTGATTTGCACTCGCTGATCTGCCCTTATCATTGACAGTTTGAAACTTGGTAAAATCCTTTTTATCGTAACGGTATGCATTCAATATCTTATCTGAAACACGCGTTAACAATAAATAGACTCGCTTGCATACATTCACAATGAAAAGGCTCAGCTGACTCATCTGCGCGTGACCCTAGAAAACCGGAAGTGAACTTTCTTATACGTCACCGTCATTTATGCAAATGAGGGTGTTTCCTGTTCAGACAAAATGGCGAAGACTTACGACTATCTTTTCAAACTTTTACTGATTGGAGACTCCGGTGTAGGAAAAACGTGTTTATTATTCAGATTTTCAGAAGATGCCTTTAATTCTACATTTATATCAACGATAGGTGAGTCAGCATCAACGTCCACACATATGGTCCCTCGGTCTCAAAGTTTTGATGTCCGATGTCAGAAATTCTAAAAATTTCACGCTCTCCTCTGACATCGTCGAATTAGTCACACGTATGCTTATTCTACTTATATTCCATATGTCTTCCGTGATTACAGATTTTAAAAAACCGTGTTTCGTAGTCATATAGGCAGGCATGTTGATGTTATAGACCCTGTGTGACAAGTTATGGCCACTTGATCAGACCACGGACCAGTTGCATACCACTAGAAAATGACATATTTACCTTTAGTTGTTTGTTGGCGAGACGACAGGAATCCGAAGTTTCAAGAGTTGAGTTGAGATATAATAGCCATATTATGTACTTTATACTGAACTGTATACCATGTATAAAGGCATGTCGTATATCGGTAGGTATTTAGGAATTGGACTATCATAACTCAACTCACAGCTGAAACTTTTGACTCATGTTTTGAGAGTAGAGATCGAGACACACTGCCATTGCCGCATTGGGCCTATCTGCTCTATGTCATATTTGACTATGTTCCGTGTTATTCCAAGAAGGCAAACATATCACACGATGAAGCTTGTTGTTTTGAACAATTACTAGTTATGTTGATGATAGGCTGTTAGTGGTTTGGCATTAATCTATGACAATTTTTTACCAATATTTAATAGTCTAAAAAAAGACCTTTCTCACAATCTAAGTACAAGGTATGGAAGCTTTAAATTGTATTTTTTGTAAGGTTATTACCCCACTGTTTAGGGTCACAGGTTCTTGCTATCAATCAGTTTGTGTTCAATTAGCATGACTGGTTAATTTTACTCATTCAAGATATATTATGAACTAGCATAAGTCATTGTGTTTCATCATATGACAACCAGGCCAGTAACAAAGGTGAATAGACGCATCCCTAGAATACACAATCTATTATCGTGAATAATGACACACCAAGTTAATGTAGTATCTTTTATCATGAATAGTGACACTGCTTTTAGTTCTACACTGCATCTGTTGTTGTGAATAGAGACTCCACTTCGACACGCTGTATCTGTTGTTGTGAATAGTCACACCGCTAGCTCACACTGTATCTGTTGTTGTGAATAGTGACTCAGCTAGTACAGACTGCATCTGTTGTGAATAGTGACTCCGCTTGGACAGGCTGTATATGTTGTTATGAATAGAGACTCCACTTCGACACGCTGTATCTGTTGTTGTGAATAGAGACTCCACTTCAACATGCTGTATCTGTTGTTGTGAATAGAGACTCCACTTCGACACGCTGTATCTGTTGTTGTGAATAGAGACTCCACTTCGACACGCTGTATCTGTTTTTGTGAATAGAGACTCCACTTCGACACACTGTATATGTTGTTGTGAATATAGTCACACCGCTAGCTCACACTGTATCTGTTGTTGTGAATAGAGACTCCACTTCGACACGCTGTATCTGTTGTTGTGAATAGAGACTCCACTTCGACATGCTATATCTGTTGTTGTGAATATAGTCACACCGCTAGCTCACACTGTATCTGTTGTTGTGAATAGTGACTCCGCTTGGACAGGCTGTATATGTTGTTGTGAATAGAGACTCCACTTCGACACGCTATATCTGTTGTTGTGAATAGTCACACCGCTAGCTCACACTGTATCTGTTGTGAATAGTGACTCAGCTAGTACAGACTGCATCTGTTGCGAATAGTGACTCCGCTTGGACAGGCTGTATCTGTTGTGAATAGTGACCCCGCTAGCTCACGCTATATCTGTTGTTGTGAATAGTGACACCACTTTGGCACACGGTATCTGTTGTTGTGAATAGTCACACTGCCAGCTCATGCTGTATCTGTTGTTGTGAAAAGTGACTCCGCTTCGACACACTGCATCTGTTGTTGTGAATAGTGACCCCGCTAGCTCACGCTATATATGTTGTGAATAGTGACACCGCTTTGGCACACGGTATCTGTTGTTGTGAATAGTCACACTGGCTCTACACACTGTCTATTGTGAATAGTGACACTGTTTTGACACTGCATCTATTGATGTGAATCGTGACACTGCTTCACTGTCTGTTGTTGTGAATAGTGACACTGTTTTGACACTGCATCTATTGATGTGAATCGTGACACTGCTTCACTGTCTGTTGTTGTGAATAGTGACACCACTAGCATACAGTGATTCTGTTAACGTGGATGTCCAGTTTTCAGCAAATCCTTATGACCGATGGCAGGGCAGTTTTCGGAATGGGGGTTCAGGGTGGGGGTCTGTTCCTTGATGTCTTCTCACATCATGTCTAGTCTCCATTCAAAATTGCAGGTTTGTTTGATTTCGAGATTGACTATCTGATGCGCTGAATCCTTCATAATGAAACTTTGAGTCTCCATTCAAAGTTCAATTAACATGGCCATTTATTCAAAACAGACAGTTATTAATTAAAATCTACAGTCTGAGGGGACTAATCAACTGCAAAATTAACTGTTTATGTTATGAAAAATAATTTGATCCTCTGCATTATATATGCATATGATGAAGCCTATGTTTGCGCGTTTGGGTACCCTAGTACTTTAAACGTTCGCTCATCACACCGAAGATACAGGTTCGAATCCCCACATGGTAACAATCTGTGAAGCCCTTTTATGGTGCCCCCCTCCGTGATTTGCTTGAATATTGTTAAAAGCAGCGTAAAACCTCACTTACTCTCTCACTCACTGTGCTTATGTGACTGTAAATGGATGATTCTTTCATTTGTTCATTCATTAAAATGGACAGTTGTTCAGAATTGGCATAGTCTTTTAGAAGGATACAAGATCAAAATATTTATTGTCTATGTGTACGTAAGTCTCCCTATACACATGATAGACAAAGTGTGTGATATAGACAAAATGTAGTGGTTGGTTAGCTGCAGTAGAAACTAATATTTTTAGTCTGCTAGTCCTTATGATGATAACATATGATATAGCATAACCCTTAAAAATCACAAATGGCCACAGGTCCTTATGATACCTTAGCTAGTACGAGGCAGAGTCGCATAGGGCTGGCAAAAAAGATTGATAAATGGAAATATCGTCAACATGGTCAATGGAAAGAAATATTAATGATTATCGATATGAAAATTGTGTCATCAATACCATCTTACATAAACTATTGTGATGAAATAAAGTAATAGATTTACCAAAACAAACTTCTTATTGTCAATAATGTTAATTGCTGAAAACGGAAAGTAACTATTTTTGTTATGTCTCAAATGTCCACAAAGTAATCACTGCATAAATGTGCCAGCGCTCACCAATGGAGTGAAATATGTTGATTGTTTTCAGATTTTTGTTGTTGTGTATTTTCTCAAGTATTACTTCTCTGATATTTATTGATAATTGATCGAGATGTAGTCACTGATTATCGATCTCTGTGATCTGTATAGGGGCGGTCGGGTAGCCTAGTGGTTAAAGCATTCGCTCGTCACGCCGAAGACCCGGGTTCGATTCCCGACATGGGTACAATGTGTGAAGCCCATTTCTGGTGTCCCCCGCCGTGATATTGCTGGAATATTGCTAAAAGCGGCGTAAAACCATACTCACTCACTCACTCACTGTGATCTGTATCGATGGCCAGTCCTACTTTCGCAAGGACTAAAGGTCTAGTGCCACTTTATATCGCAAGAATTTTGTGGTTTGTTTCTTTCAGATGTGCCACAGCTCACTCTAATGTTTTGGAGTTAAAGATCACAAATAGTATAATAATTTTGGTCCATCTTGGAAATATTTTTGTGCGTATTTTGTACGTATGAAAGCAACTTAACATTGATTGGGTTACGGTGATTAAGTCAGTGTATTTCTTGCAAATATACAGCTTATCTGAAGCTCTGTGTATAATGTGTACAGTTAGAATGAGTTATCATGACGTCAGTACCGTGGACACAATTCTGACCCATCACTGTGGTCCTGGTATGTTGTATGATAACATCGGCTATCTGCTGATGATTAGACTGTTGAACCTATACTTCTGCTTTATGTTACTAGACTATGTCAGTAAATTAGTCATTGATCTGTTCATTGTCGTATAAGTGAGCAAGTATGGTTTTAGAGGTAACCGTAACCCATGCTTGCCATAAAAGGCGACCATGCCTGTCGTAAGAGGCGACTTACAGGATCAGTTGTCAGGCTCGCTTACTTGGTTGATGCATGTCATTGTATCCCAATAATTATAATGCTCATGATGTCAATCACTGGATTGTCTTGTCCAGACTCGATTATTTACAGACCACCGTCATGTAGCTGGAATATTGCTGTGTGCAAAACAACAAACAAACAATAAATCATAAATAATCGAGTCTGGACCAGACAATCCAGTTATTGACATCATCATGATCATGAGCATCGATCCACACGATATGGATACGATGACATGATTCAACCAAGTCAGTGAGCCTACCAATCCGATTCCGTTTGTCGCTTCTTAATGACAAGCATAGTCAATTTTATGGCAAGCATGGGTTGCTGAAGACCTACTGAGATTGGATTGGGCGGTCATGCATGGTGACTTGGTTGCTTAGTCAGGCTTAGTGACTTGGTTGCTTAGTCAATCCTAGTGACTTGGTTGCTTGGTCAGGCTTTGTGACTTGGTTGCTTGGTCAGGCTTAGTGACTTGGTTGCTTAGTCAGGCATGGTGACTTGGTTGCTTAGTCAGGCATGGTGACTTTGTTGCTTGGTCAGGATTAGTGACTTGGTTGCTTGGTCAGGCTTAGTGACTTGGTTGCTTAGTCAGGCTCAGTGACTTGGTTTCTTAGTCAGGCTTAGTGACTTGGTTGCTTGGTCAGGCTTTGTGACTTGGTTGCTTGGTCGGGCTTAGTGACTTGGTTGCTTAGTCAGGATTAGTGACTTGGTTGCTTGGTCAGGCTTAGTGACTTGGTTGCTTAGTCAGGCTCAGTGACTTGGTTTCTTAGTCAGGCTTAGTGACTTGGTTGCTTGGTCAGGCTTTGTGACTTGGTTGCTTGGTCAGGATTAGTGACTTGGTTGCTTAGTCAGACTTAGTGACCTTTTTACTTGGTCAGGCTTTGTGACTTGGTTGCTTAGTCAGGCATAGTGACTTGGTTGCTTGGTCAGGCTTAGTGACTTGGTTGATCATGTTGATTACGTGTGATCATACCATGGTCAGACTTGGTGACTTTGGTTCATTGTGTGTGATGGTACCTTGACAATGTGGGAAGTTGATCATTAAATCCGTAAGAAGATGGCTGGTTCAGACTTCATGTCTTATCAACAACCTTGATACAGCTGGAGCACTGTTTAGTGCGGGGGCGCAGTCGTCTAAGACGCCGCGATTTGCTAGGAAGAGTTGCGTCCCTTGGGCTCGCCAGAAACATATGATTATGGGTTCGAATCCCGGTTGGCCCCAATTATGTTTCTAGGTTTGGCAGCAGCATACCCGTGCTCGTGGGTTTCATGGAATTGGTAAACGTCTGAGACCTGCATCAATTTGGGCTTTGCTGACACGCCGCAATATAACTGGAATACTGTTATGAGTGGCGTTCACCCCAACTCACTCACTCACTCACTCACTCACTCACTCACTCACTCACTCACTCACTCACTCACTCACTCACTCACTCTTGAGTGCGGGATTCACTTACTCTCCGCTGCAGTTAATTCTTCATCTCGTATGTGATGTTTCAATGACGCCTGTACTAACAGTGTCTCACTCTTGTTTGTACCTGCTTTGTTTATGTATTTCAGGAATTGACTTCAAGATTCGAACTATCGAGCTTGATGGGAAAAAGATCAAGTTACAGATATGGTAAGTGTGCTTCCATGTTTAACCATGCTGCGTATTTACTAGGGGTGAAATGATAGAGTAAGCTCACGATACGATATGCATCATGATACACATATTAAGTCATATCGAGTGGAAACGTCTTGACTAAACTTATTTCAGAGCATGTTCAAAAGGAAAAGCTAGCTGTAGACACATTTTCGTAGCAGCTTTTTTATCAGTAATTTGGAATGCCAATTACAACACATTTTGCGATACTTGACTGACAGAATTGCTGGGTGGTCCTTAAGAGAGTAGTAAGTAGTTTATTTTAGCAAGTGTATCATCATGATTTGCGAATGAATTTCTGTATAGAGTTTAGGTTAAATGATATGAATTAAAAAATAATACTGAAACGTGCACAGTGGACAGTATACAGGTATACCGAAACAGAAAAATAAATTGCAATAGGCATACGCGTACACTCCTATATGCTAGACATAATATTTTTGGTATAATGCAGGGATGCAGCTTTCCCTGAAACATTGCCAGCCCGGTTTACAAGCCTTGTTACTATGATATGATTTGTTACTATGGCTACTATGATTCATAGCCAGTGAAGATCCGGGGTAGAATAGGTCTTTAGCAACCCATGCTTGCTGTAAGAGGCAACTAACAGGATCGGGTGGTCAGGCTCGCTGACTTAGTTGATGCATGACATCGATCCCAATTGCGTGGATCGATGCTCATGCTGTCAATCACTGGATTGTCTTGTCCAGGCTTGATTATTTACAGACCACTGTCATATAGCTGGAATGTTGCTGAGTGCGGCATTAAACAACAAACAAACAAACAAACAAAACTATGATTTTTCTGTTTCAGGGACACAGCTGGACAGGAGCGGTTCCGCACCATCACCACAGCATACTACCGAGGGGCTATGGTAAGCACACAGTAATGGGTGGGACCCGAAGACCCAGGTTCAATTCCCACATGGGTACAATGTGTGAAGCCAATTTCTGGTGTCCCCTGCCGTTATATTGCCGAAATATTGCGAAAAGCGGCGTAAACCATACTCATGTAGTAAAAATGTTGCGTCTGACACAATATCCTAATTGAGAAAGGATGCAAAACGTATATATATTGTGGGGTGGGTGGGGGGTTGCAATAAACAATGCTTGTCGTAAGTGGTGACTAACGGGATCGGGTGGTCAGGCATGCTGACTTGGTTGATGCATGTCATCATATCCCAATTGCGTAGATCGATGCTCATAATGTCAACCATTGGATTATCTGGTCCAGACTCGATTATTTACAGACTGCCGTCATACAGCTGGAATATTGCTAAAGGCGGCATAATACCATACTCACTCAAGCAGTGACAGAACTCCAGTTGCTTATGCATCGACAGAGCACTCCTGCGTATTTGACAAAATGCCTTGACAAAAAAAATTCACAATTTTATTTTCAATACATCGTTATGTGTTTCAGGGCATCATGCTGGTCTATGACATCACAAATGAGAAATCTTTTGAAAACATACGGAATTGGATCCGTAACATAGAGGAGGTAAGAGCTTAAACCATTCATTTCTGTCAGTCCGACACCCAACCAGACCTGTGAAGAGCCGGGGTGGAATAGCTCTTCAGCAACCCATGCTTGCCGTAAAAGGCGACTATGCTTGTCGTAAGAGACGACTAACGGGATTGGGTGGTCAGGCTCGCTGACTTGGTAGATGCATGTCATCGTATCTCAATAATGTAGATCGATGCTCATGATATTAATGACTGGATTGTCTGGTCCAGACTAGATTATTTACAGACCGCTGTCATATAGCTGGACTATTGCTGATTGCGACGTTAGAAACAAACAGACAAATAGAACCTTGCACTGATGGATGTTGTAAGAGGCGACTAATGGTCAGGCCTGCTGACTTGGTTGATGCATGTCATTGATCCCAATTGCGCAGTTTGATGCTCATGATATTAATGACTGGATTGTCTTGTCCAGACTCGATTAATTACCGACTGTCGTCATACAGCTGGAATATTGCTGATTGCGACATTAGAAACAAACAGACAAGTAGAACCTGGCACTGATGGATGTTGATGGTTGATGTGTTTTCAGCATGCATCGAAGGATGTGGAGAAGATGATCTTGGGCAACAAGTGTGATATGAATGACAGGCGACAGGTGTCGAAGGAGAAGGGCGAGCAGGTAGGGACTGGTTGTCAAGCCCTCTGGCGAGGATTGGTTACAGTGTTTATTGGGGATGTTATGATTCCCCAATACTGTTAATTAGGGCTGTTACGACTCACTCGCACATTCGAACTGTATACTTCATGAATTGAATTTGTTATTCGTGGTCACTAGAATTGAATATGTACGACTTTTTGGTAAACAGTGTTTTTTAACTTATCAAAGCGAGATATGCAAAATGAAATTTAAACAAGCAAGCAGTAGCGTAACTTGTGTCAGTGTGTCAAGGCACCTAATGGTGCTGTCAACCTAAACATTAGGCTATAGTATAAGCGTCATTGTTGCAATGTATTGCTTGTTTGCTTCACAAAAAATATCATCGAAATGTTCCAACCTAAGCAATGACATGACATACAATTATGTACATTTGTGTAAAATTCACGTTTTACACTGAGTCAATGTTTTTCCCCCAATGGAAAGACAATACCAGCTGATTACCGTGAGCATGTAACACCGGAAGTAACTTGTTATTGTATTCGTGAATAGATATTCGTATTCGTAACCCTATATTTATGATACGTATCATACTCGCCTCATAGTGTATCCACACTTACCTCTATCAATTCATATTTAACTTCTGTATTGATTCACACATGGAAAATTTGGAACAGCAGTGGAATTACTTTGTTGGCAAAATGGGTCCTATCTACATTCTAATTAACAATTTTATGATTATTAATTTATTCTATATTTACATTGTACAATGGACGTAGTTTTAAGACTTAAATTATGTTATTGTCTTTTTCTAACTGGTGTTGATTGAAATTTGTTTTCAAATATGAGACCAAATATTCAGGATTTTTTAAACCTTTTTAATAGTGTTTATACCCTATGGAATCTATAAATCAATGCAAAATTGCCCCACTCACTGCCTAATAAAAACACATACCATGGTTAATATCCTGCTCTGATCAACAAAACACAGGCAATGGTAATAAAACCCTCTCACTGACCACCAAATCACAAGTGATGGTAAATACCCTCTCACTGACCAACAGAACACAAGTGATGGTAAATACCCTCTCACTGACCAACAGAACACAAGTGATGGTAAATACCCTCTCACTGACCAACAGAACACAAGTGATGGTAAATACCCTCTCACTGACCAACAGAACCAAAGCGATGGTAAATACCCTCTCACTGACCAACAGAACACAGGCGATGGTAAATACCCTCTCACTGACCAACAGAACCAAAGCGATGGTAAATACCCTCTCACTGACCAACAGAACACAGGCGATGGTAAATACCCTCTCACTGACCAACAGAACACAAGTGATGGTAAATACCCTCTCACTGACCAACAGAACACAGGCGATGGTAAATACCCTCTCACTGACCAACAGAACACAAGTGATGGTAAATACCCTCTCACTGACCAACAGAACACAAGTGATGGTAAATACCCTCTCACTGACCAACAGAACACAAGTGATGGTAAATACCCTCTCACTGACCACCAATAACTATTCACTGACCACAAAAACACAGGCGATAGTTCCTACTAACTGACCAACAGAACACAGGCGATGGTATAAAAATACTCACTGCCAAACAAAACACGGGCGATGGTTCCCGCTAACTGACCACCTTAACACAGACGATGGTTCCCGCTTACTGACCACCTAAACACAGGCAATGGTTCCCGCTAACTGACCACCAAAACACAGTCAATGGCTCCCACTTACTGACCAACAAAACAGTCAATTGCTCCCACTTACTGACCAACAAAACACAGGCGATGGTTCCCGCTAACTGACCAACTAAACACAGGCGATGGTTCCCGCTAACTGACCACCAAAACACAGGTGATGGTTCCCGCTAACTGAACACCAAAACACAGGCGATGGTTCCCATTTACTGACCACCAAAACACAGGCGATGGTTCCCGCTAACTGACCACCAAAACACAGTCAATGGCTCCCACTTACTGACCACCAAAACAAAGACGATGGTTCCCACTTACTGACCAACAAAACACAGGCGATGGTTCCCGCTAACTGACCAACAAAACACAGGCGATGGTTCCTGCTAACTGACCAACAAAACACAGGCGATGGCTCCCACTTACCGAACACCAAAACACAGGCGATGGTTCCCGCTAACTGACCAACAAAACACAGGCGATTGCTCCCACTTACTGACCATCAAAACACAGGCGATGGTTCCCGCTAACTGACAACCAAAACACAGGTGATGGTTCCGCTAACTGACCACCAAAACACAGGCAATGGTTCCTGCTAACTGACCACCAAAACACAGGCGATGGTTCCCGCTAACTGACCACCAAAACACAGGCAATGGTTCCTGCTAACTGACCACCAAAACACAGGCGATGGTTCCCGCTAACTGACAACCAAAACACGGGCGATGGTTCCCGCTAACTGACCACCAAAACACAGGCGATGGTTCCGCTAACTGACCTGTCTGTTTCAGCTTGCTGTGGAACACGGGATCAAGTTCATGGAGACGAGTGCGAAGGCCAGCAACAACGTGGAGGAGGCCTTTTTCACACTAGCAAGAGACATTAAGCTCAAGATGGACAGGAAATCAGTAAGTAGAGGGACACAGTGCCCATAACAGGTGAAGTTAAGCAATGTCGGTCGCAGAGAGTCCTTGGATGGGTGACAGCATTTCGGCAGCTTGGCCCCTGAGAGTTTCCAAGGCTTCAGTCCTGCCCCGCTCTGAATCACACATAACACATGTGGCGTCTCATTGGGCAAGTGACTTTGTTCGAATATGGGCCTCTGTTCACCAAGCAGTGAATGGGTACCCGGTAGGATGAGATGGCAATGTGGTTGTTAACCTTCTAGCGCATGACAGGCAGCTTGGGATGTATACTCCCCAGGGGGCTGAGAATGATTCTTGAGTGCACATTGATCCAGTGGCTGGGGTGATAATAGCGCTTTGAGCATGCCCCTGAGTGGTGTGGAAATATGTGCAATGTAAATAGCCTATTATTATTATAACTGGGAAGGATTTTAGTTCCAATTGGGGAATTTTGCTGACTTGAGGCCGAATAGCAGCCTCTGAGCAGGTCAGTATAAACCCATGGTTGGCCACATACTAAGTTCTTCACTCTTTGTTGGCTGTTTACTGTGCACAGTTATGTCCCTTAGCTTTGCCAGGATCAGTTGATCTAGCTTAGAATGATTTTCTATGGTGACATTTAAACTGCAGGGTGTGCAGACTTGAACATTTGTGCTAATCATTAAATGTATTGTGTAGCCTGGATTTAGGTTATGTGAAAGCTCGCTGGTGAAAATGTGTGACTGCTGACCACGACTAAGTCCTCCCTTTCACTTACTCCCCCTTCTTCTTTGTCGTTGCAGGATGCCTCAGGTCAATCAAGCCGGGGAGGAGGCTACCAATTGAAGAAGGAAAACACCCCCAAGAAGTCTTTCTGGAGGTGTTCGATTCTCTGATTGGCAGAACCTTGTCATGTGATTGAACTAGTTTTGTTACTGACTGAACTGAAGGCTATACGTGCATATAATATTGGCCTTTGTGTACTCAATCGTAGGGTCGTTGTCATGGACACTATTGCGACCCTGGGCAGAAACTTGGTGCGTTCCCGCCACGATGCATAAAATCATGGACACTTACGAACAGAGCACAGACCAAGCTGACAGAAACCGGAGCCTACGTTCTGTGCTTCGCTGGCTTGTCCTGCTTGTTCTTCACTATCCTTTCAATGTTACTATGGTTACTATTCAAGATGGCAGCCCGGACAGTGGCTGTTGACAACTGCCATTGTCGTACAAAAGTTACTATGATTTTTAAACAACCTCCAGGATGTGTCATGAATGTAAATATTTGTGCTTTTGATGGTTCTGCAGCGTATCTGATCCGGATTGTTGATCCCGGGGGATATTGTCATCATCAGTGTTCAATACTAAATGTGAAAGTCAAGGGGTCCATCACCCTAAGAGTGTAAAATTGAGATTAGGACCAACTACTATAGGAAGAAACCTCAAGAAACCGGTCATTTACTTCAGGGGTGGGTGGGTGGGTCAGAGGTTTTTGGTGCAGAAAATGATTACCCTCCCCCAATGCTCGTCATATTTAGGATGACCCTTCTCATGTCTGTACATTTTTTTCATGACTCTCCCAGAACAGACAAAATGCAAAAGCGCTTTATATTTGATAATAAAATGTCCATTTATTCATGACCCTCCCCAAATATGTGTATTATTTTTTATGACCCTCCCCTAGAGACCCTCCTGATTCCCTCTGACCCACCCCACCCCACCCTATGATAAATGACCAGTGCCTTAAGGGAGATCTTTGGATTCCTTAGTTTGTTGACTGTTTTGCATTGAAACTTTCAGGGACCTTTCTGATGTACACAAAACACCTTCTTTCAGTGAGTGTTGGTGAGGGCTAAATAAACCATTGCAATCTCTGTACAGAGCGTTCTGGAAATTCATATGATTTGACATTTCGCCAGACAATGAAAAGGAAAAAGACCAAACAGAAAAGTCAGCGGTATTGTTGGTCACATGACCACAAGTAAGATTTGTGTTGGTTGTTCAGCAGAAGCTTTGGTCCACAATTAGTTGTTTATGCAGTTAGCTGACATACAGCCTTTCTTATGCCTGAAGGAGTTCATTGTAATGTTATTGGCACTTTCTGTTACGTTTATCAATCAGTCTTTTTCTAATAGCTGTGCAGTGTTATGGCCCATAGCAGTGCCAGGATCTGCTGATCTGGGCTTTGAATCCCTGGTTCGACTAAGAACCTTGGTGTTCCAGAATTGTACCATGCTTGTGGATTGCAGCAAAGTTGTAAGGGTCTACAGCCTACTCCTTTTATTTTCTGTGGTGCAACAGGGCAGTGGGGTAGCCTAGTGGTTAAAGCGTTGGCTCGTCACGCCGAAGACCCGGGTTCGATTCCCAACATGGGTACAATGTGTGAAGCCCATTTCTGGTGTCCCCCGCCGTGATATTGCTGGAATAATGCTAAAAGCGGCGTAAAACCATACTCACTCACTCACTCTGTGGTGCAACTGAGATCTGTAGCATGAGAGCCAACACTCACAGTTCAGCTGATCTTGCTATATATACTGTTGGGCTGGGGAGCCTATAGTAGCCCATATATAAAGGGCTTGGAGTCAGGGTGCTCCAGTGCTGCTTGGATCAGTAAAATGCCCTAGCATGACATTAGGCAGGCATTTATTACTGACAAAAGCTGAAAAATTCTGTTGGCATAGTTACCCACTTACTCTTGCCGTTAATTAGCCACAACCATTTTCAGCCTCTTTTATTCATCGCTTGGAAGTATTTTTGAGGCGCAAGAGTAACTTTACAGATTCTGTGTATATTTCTTTAAGTGATGAGGCATACTTCCCATGCTTGCCATACAAGTCGACTATGCTTGTTGTAAGTGGCGACTAACAGGATCGGGTGGTCAGGCTCACTAACTTGGTATGTCATCGTATCCCAATTGCGTAGATCGATGCTCATGATATCAATCACTGGATTGTCTGGCCCAGATTCAATAATTTACAGACTGCCATCATGTAGCTGGAATATTGCTGTGTGCGGCGTTAAATTACAAACAAACAAAAGCATACTACATTAAAGTTTTGTGTGTTCTTCACCTCCCTGCTGCAGAGTTGCGTCCCTTGGGCCAGAAACTATGGTCGGAATTAAGTTCTGCCTGATTAAGTTTCCATACCCGTGCTCGTGGGGTTCACCGAAGTCGTAAACGTCTGAGACCAGCAACACTCTGGCTTTACTCCCACATTAAGCTGACACACCATGATATAACTGGAATATTGTTAAGAGAGGCGTTATATACCCAACTCACTCACTCACTCACTCACTCACTCACCCATCTCCATGCTAACTCGTAGGCCTTAAGAAAATTAACATTAGAAATCTGCCTCTGGTCAGGAATTGATATGTTGTCCATTGTTTAAGATGTGCGCAAAATGTTTTGCAGTTTAATAACTATTTTGCTATGTTCAAGCAGTTGCTATATTGATGTTGAGAGTTTAAACTTTCATGGTCAGAGTTACCTCCCTTCTTCGCATAAGGTTAACATGAATTATGAATCGTTCAGTGAAATGGGAAGTTAATTAATTGTTGTTTCAAGGACGAGATACTAGCTATTGAAGTGAGCAAATGGGTGACAGGAGATGAGAAGCAAAGAATAAATCCAGATAGATTATACACTGTCTAAAACTGTGTTTGGGATGGCCTAATGGTACGGTGTTCTGGTCGGCCCTACCGTGCTGTATGTATTAGGTGTAGCCCTAAATCCCTGTGTTCTGGATGGCCCTATAGTGTATTCTGGAGCGTCCTATAGTCCTGTATTGTGGATGGCCTTATGTTTCTCCATACTGGATGGCGGATGGTACTGTATACTGGAGGGCCTCATGGTACTGTGTTCTGGATGGTCCTATAGTCCTGTATTGTGGATGCCTTATGGTTCTCCATACTGGATGGCCTCGTGGTACTCTATACTGGATGGCCTTATGGTACTCTATATAGGATGGCCTCATGGTACTCTATACAGGATGGCCTCGTGGTACTCTATACAGGATGGCCTCGTGGTACTCTATACAGGATGGCCTCGTGGTACTCTCTACTGGATGGCCTCATGATACTCTATACAGGATGGCCTCGTGGTACTCTATACAGGATGGCCTCGTGGTACTCTATACAAGATGGCCTCGTGGTACTCTATACAGGATGGCCTCGTGGTACTCTCTACTGGATGCCCTCATGGCACTCTATACAGGATGGCCTCGTGGTACTCTATACAGGATGGCCTCGTGGTACTCTACACAGGATGGCCTCGTGGTACTCTATACAGGATGGCCTCGTGGTACTCTATACAGGATGGCCTCGTGGTACTCTCTACAGGATGGCCTCGTGGCACTCTATACAGGATGGCCTCGTGGTACTCTATACAGGATGGCCTCGTGGTACTCTATACAGGATGGCCTCATGGAACTCTATACAGGATGGCCTCGTGGTACTCTATACAGGATGGCCTCGTGGTACTCTATACAGGATGGCCTCTTGGTACTCTATACAGGATGGCCTCGTGGTACTCTCATGGCACTCTATACAGGATGGCCTCGTGGTTCCTTATGGTACTGTATTCCATGTGCTTTATCAGTGTGTCCTCAGCTTGGTGTGTGCTCCTCCAGGCTAAGTTATTGTGTGGTACAAAGCATCATTCTGTACATATATGAGTTTTGCAATAAGAGACTATTGACCTGACATTTTGTACATATTTTTGACATGCTCTTACTGAAATATAGCTAGAGTTATAGGCTGGGCTTGTTATGTCTTTCATCTTGACAGCGACACTGTTATGCAATATAACACTTTCGTCTTCTGGTCTCCTTGAGCGTGGGCAGGCAAAGATTGCAAGGTCACAGTGTGGTTGGTTTTGGAGACATGTTCTGAGAGAAAATTACGCTGTTTCGGTGTATCTTTGAAAATTGCTTGAATATGGAATTAAATGATTTTTATCTCTGAAAGCTCTTTTGTTTTTGCAAATGTTGAAAACACAAAAGTATTTTTGGCAAAAGGGTGGCTACAATTTTTTCATTTTAATATTATCAACAGAATCTTTTTTAAATTGACCAGATTTAATGAAAAATAGAGGTATTTCACGTGTATGATGTTTTATCAAGTACAATAAACACATTGATGGAGAATATCTCACGTAGCTCACCTGAAATAGGTAAAAGTGAAAAAATACAATGATTGCAGTCCCCTGCTAAACTAACAGTAATCACCACCGACCCAGACTCTGCCCTTCCCCGCCCCTAATTTCCCCCTGCCACGCCCATCCTCCCATATGACCCATGTGTTGCGTTGTTTAATTGATGATTTATGTCCATTTCCAGTTGACAGAACAAAGATTACTTATATATATATTCAGAGCAAATTTGTGTCCCGTGAGATTGAACTGGATGCTGGTAAGGCTATGCAGTAAGGTGACCTGTATTTGTCCTCAAACAAAGTGCTAAGTGAGGTAGCATGGCACGAACTGCACCATCATCCTTGTAGGTTTTAATGGGTTCAGGGTTGTTTGCCAAAGAACTGAAAAATATATCCGTACCATTATTAGGGAAGTCACGATTCACCGATTGTAACGATGCATTGGTAGATAATTCTCATGATACGATACGAGATTCATGTAAATTTACACCGATAAGATATTTGATTGAAATCGGTATCCATTTGTTGATTGATTTTTCTTTTTGAATCGAAACGTCATAATATTTTCTGAATTTGGCACATACGAAAACTTGTTAGTGTCTGACACTTGATTGAATAAACAGAAACAAACTTTTCTAAGTATTATTGTTTTACAAAATAATCTACTGATAGTGATTAGATTAAAAAGTTTGCTTCTAAATTTATGCATAAAAGGTCGGTATTGCTGTATCAAGATACATATCGTATCTTGACCTCAAAATCGAGATACGTATCGTATCGTGAGGTACCTGTATCGTGACGGCCCTAACCTTTCCATGATTATCCAGTGTATTTGAACTCCATTTGATTGTGATACAGTCTGCCGGCATACGCTCTTTTTGAGTCTGGTAAAAATATGTCCATTTAAAGTACACAAATCACTTAGCTCTCATTCTTGGAATAAGCAGTGATACTACCAATGCTGGCATAACCTTATGTGCCGCCTGAAACAAAACCGTGACATTATAGCAAAAGGACTGTCCCTTTCCCCGTCTTAGAACTCAAGAAACAATCCTCCAGCAGTAACTTAACTTACAACAGTCTTCTGAATCGATGAAATATTTTCAGGGCTTGTTTGTACAAAGTGATCTATGCCAGTCATTCAGGAGATGGTTGTTGATGTTAAGTTCAGGAGAGACAGAATCCTGTGCTGAGTTAGAGCTTAGACACGTGCCTGGGCAAATCTAGAGGGGGAGTCCAGAGGGTCCGGACCCGTGAAGATCCGGGGTAGAATAGGTCCTCAGCAACCCATGCATGCCGTAAAGGGTGACTATGCTTGTCATAAAAGGCGACTAACGGGATCGGGTGGTCAGGCTCGCTGACTTGGTTGATGCATGTCATCGATCCCAATTGCGTGGTTCGATGCTCATGATATTAATCACTGGATTGTCTGGTCCTGACTCAATTATTTACAGACCGCTGTCATATTGCGGCGTTAAACAACAAACCAACCAACCGAACATCTCCCCTCAACACACACTTTTTGAAAACCAAATGTAGTATGTTGTAGGCAGTAAATTTGTCAGAGAGGATTTTGATATTTTGGACCCCTGTTTTAAAAATGCTGGGTCTGCCCTTGAGAATGGCTCCATGGTATATACCACTCAAAACAAGTTAAGGAACAATTGGAATGTTGTGTGTTGCAAGACCCACCAGCCATGTCAGATCAACTATGGTCATATGACAAAATAGGGTGTTCTTTAACTTCTTTTGAGTAGTATATACCAGGGTTAATGAAGTGTTGCATCATGTTAGGTGCATTGTTATAGTTGTCTTTACCTGGGCACCTTGATAAGTGTTGATGCATTCTGTTGGTGTCTCAAGGGAGATAACTCCATTTGTTTCACCCATCCTTGCATTTCCCATAAACAGTTTATATTTTTATTTAATTGGATCATGGGTTATTATTGTGAAAGTCAGAAGAGGGATTCATATTTTCTCTATTTTGACAACTGGATCACAAAATGTTTTTACAGACGTTACCTGTAGGAGAGATAAAAAGAAAGGAAATTCGCCATTTGTCACACATGTGATCCAACAAATAAGAAATAATGGCCTTAAATTTAGGGTAAGATTTTTGTTTTGCCTGCCCGTGCACACAAGTTATCCATTTTCAACTTGTACAGGTTCTCAGATCTGCATATTGTGACTAACAAAATGAACCTTTTTATTTCGAAAAAATCTTTTATTTCTGTATAAATTACCACCAAAGACAATAAATAGATCTTAATTGTGCATCCCCCCTTTTAAAAAAAGCTGTATCCGCCCATGTATAGTATGTGTTTATCAGTTTGTGAAAAATTTATTGCTTTGATATAATTTAGTAATTCCTTGTCAACACGTGCATTCAATCCCTGCAACAAGTGCTTTGTTTTCACACGGTCAGTTTTGACCATATATTGGCCATGTAATGTTTTGTTGCATCATAACAGGGGTTTATCTAGTTCAAAACTAAGTTCCCTTGGTCGACAAACTGGGAGAAAATAGTTTTGTTCAAAATAGATTTTTAATTATTTTATTTTTCTAAGTTCAGGTATTATCACATTGCATTTCAGATTGCAGTCAATGCACTCATGTAACTAGACATATAAGATCCTTTACTGATCAGTGAAATACATCCCATAACACAAGTCTACAAACCCATAACACAAGTTATTACTGTTCTGCAGTGGACATCATGTTCTTCTAATTTGTTTTTACTGACATTTGCCAGTTTTAGGCCCCCTGTGAGAAAGCAGGGGCAGTCGGGTAGCCTAGTGGTTAAAGCATTCGCTTGTCATGCCGAAGACATGGGTTGGATTCCCGACATGGGTACAATGTGTGAAGCCCATTTCTGGTGTCCCCCGCCGTGATATTGCTGGAATATTGCTAAAAGCGGCGTAAAACCATACTCACTCACTCACTCCTCTGAGAAAGGCTACATAAATCCCTGTTTGATCCATGCCGTATGTGAATGTTTTAAGGACAAGTTCGTGGGTAGCAGATATATCCATGTATGCCTTGTGCCATAGGGATGTTCTTGAAAACTACCCCTCCAGTAACTGAGATTAATCCACAAGGGGCCATCATGTCTTTCGTAGAGGTGGGTGGGGATTGTTTGTCATGACCCTGCACATGCCATGTGTGGAGGTTGGATGATTCAGTGAGAGGTTCACAGCTCTGCCTCCTCATAGAAATGCATCACGCTTGTGGCCCCACTCTCCTACCCAGAGTTCCATGCGACCAGCATAGTACCTCTGACACAGGCCAGCTTCATGTGACGATTCGTCACATCTTACAAAGTCTATTCAAGATATTGCATATGTTTTTCATCTGTTTCATTTTTGACAAATTTAGACATCTAGATAAACATATGTCATAGAATGGTTAACTTTCATTGAGAAAATATCCTAAATCTTGAAAAACTATTTCCATTTCTGTAGTTATCCTATGTTTACATTGGTTGTACGGCTCCATGTGCTGTCTCGAAGCCCTACGGAGAGCTAGCGATACGGTCACTTTGATGTGTAAATATATATTGTCATACAACTCACTGTCGCAGTTGTAGTAGCATATCTATATAATTATGCAAAACAATATGTAATGCACTCCCAAATACTTGCAAAAGTCTGTTTTGTTCTGATTTCTGAAAAAGCGCATTTGTTTACTAACAAGAGAAAGCCCGGTCACGTGATATGCAAATTAGCATGTGGAAGTGGTGTTATGCTGAGTCACCACTGCGTCGGAGTGTGTTGCGGCCTATTTGGCATAAGTTGGTGACATGAACTAAAGTCTCAGCTAAAGTTCCTATCACGAGCAGAGGAGGGCGCTAACTTATATTACAGCTAAAATGGATAGAATTATCATTTAAGTGCCCGCATGTTATCAGAAATGGGTGGGCCACTGTAACTTGATAATACCCTCATATTGTTTGACGACGGGCCATTATCACGCCCGTTGTTAGGTGACGTCATAGGGATAGGTGACGTCACATTCAATAGTGACGTCATCTGATTTGTTCTATGACTTTTCCATATTTGTAAAAGTGGGTCAGTGAAATTTGTGTTGATTGCAACTAAATATTTCAAAACTGATAATGTTGTTTATTTCTGTTTGATAACAAATTCTATCCATTTTAGCTATGGCTGCCTTTGTTGGGCAGTTAATTGAAGACCTCGGGCTTCTGCAAATGATAATGTCCTGAAAGATATACCTTTATACTAATAACTTGGGCTCTGTTTCTCAAGGCTTCTTGTTTCACGGTGCTTTGACTTGTATATGTCTTTGAAGGTGAATGATTTAGGACTCTCTATGGTATGTCTGTAAAGTGAAAGATTTAAGACTCTTCATGCTGTGATTGAACTGTGCAGCTGGTAGGGACGGTGTAGCATAGTGATATTCATCTTCCTGAGGCCAGTTTGTCCACTAGTTTATATCAAAGCCTAGTTTATACCCTTGCCACATCACGGCCCACTTTTCTTGTCTCGACCCTGGTGCCACCTCGATAGATCACTAGTTGTGCCCCTTGTAATGAAAACGCGATATCCAATCTGATCGCAGTTCTTATCTCGTATAGCTTCACAAAAATGGTGACTACCATTGGCGATGACCTAGTCGATCAGATAACGAAAACATTCACCATTTCATTCCTGACATAAAAACATGGGCAGTGAAAAAGACATTCGTGTCAACAAAGACAAGCAGTGGTAAATCACTTTCATACGAAGGTGTACCAGTCGTGGATGTTGATTTTGATTCTCTGATTGGACTATCGATAATTGCGATGGTCCAATCATATTTAGCACAGGAAAGTGGGCTTGATGTGGCAAGGGTGGAAACAAGACTTTAACGCTCTTGCCTCGGGAAGATGGGCGATATTGCACTGAGACTATTTCCATGAACACTGACTTGCATCAGTGTTATAGTCATTGATTATTGTCTTTGAGATTAGAGGGGAGAACCGTTACCCTCAAGGAAGTGCTTCAAAGGTTCAGTGTAGGACTTGAAACTGCAAAAATTCTTATTTTTTTAGAAATACCCCACAAAATAAACTTGGAAAAATAAGGAAAAGAATTTATGGATCTCAACTTCTTTGTAATGAGGAACACAATGTTTTGGAGTATGCTTATTCCTTCATCAGGTATTGGAAAAATGTTGGAATTCTGAAAGAGATTCTTTTGTCAAGCGAGTTCTGCTTTGCAATTTCATGTAGCTCTTTATTCTGTAGAAATTTTGGGGATGTCAACATATTTTTTCACTCTACTTTGTTTATAGCTGCTTCGGTTCATATTCAGCGTAAACTTATGAGTTTGAGTTATTTACTTACTTGGACTGTAAAAACCTGAAAGTTGAGTCTCTGATAAAAAACTTGTACACCTGAACAGGTGCTCTGACCATGAGTACTCTGATTACATCCCCGAGGTGGCAATATTCGACGTTTAACACATGCCACATCTTGATGGCCTCATTGCTCCAGGGCAGAAGGGTAGCCATGCGGTTAAAGCGTTGGCTTGTCACGCCGGAGACCCAGGTTTTATTCCAGACATGGGTTCGAAGTGTGGAGCCCATTTCCGGTGTCCCCGGGCGTGATATTGCTGGAATATAGCTAAAAGTGGCGTAAACCATACTCACTCACTCACTCCACATTGCTCCAGCATCAGGCAGTGGTAGGGTGGTTCTTGGCAGGGTTCATACGAGGTTCATGCACAGAGTTGGGGTCATTTCACTTCCATGATCGCTACAAGGCCACACTACTTGATGACCAGCCAGATGTATTTAGGGGTGATGGAGGAGGGTAATGTACATGTGTATAGTGTTGCCATTGGTAATGAAGCTGTTATCACATGTTGAACCCATAGTTCTGGACTGTTGTGTTCCACAGGCCTGCCAATGAAACCTAATATGTATCAAAACCAGATACAAAAGTGTTATTGTGTATCCTTTCACCGAAACTATCCAGATATGTATCACATCATGAGAAAATGTATTAACCTTCAGTCTTAGGCCTGTCAATACACTTTCTGGGTAAGGCTAAATAAGAATAAAAGAATTGGTTCTCAGGCAATGACTTTTGAAAATATAGTGCGGACGGGTGGTGATTTTTCTAAAAACATTTTTTGTGTTTTGGTTTCTTTGTTCAAACTAGTATGTAACCAAATAAACAATTGTGTAACCAAAAATTAGTTGTGTACAATCAACCCGGGAAAGGGCCTCCCTACATAAATGTATTCCTTCATGAGTAAAATACAGGAATACAATATTTGGCTTCAGTTGGATTTTTGTTGTTTATTTTAAAATGGAAATAAAAGCGAAACATGCTGCAAACTTTATGATGATGCGGGCGGTGCCTGAGAACCAAGACTATTATTTTTGTAGGTGAGAGGAAAGGTTTGCTTCCACTGGGTGGAAATCCTCAATCTTGGGGATGTTGTGACTTCTTTTCCACAAACAAAGATTCTCCCAATTCATGTGTTAAATCCTTTGTTGTGGGGGACGGTATCACTCATATTCCGCATGCGAAGGTTGTCCCATTTCATGTGTAATCCTTAATGTGGGGGACGTTATGACTCGTATTCTGCAATTGAAGATGTCCCATTTCATGTGCTTTATCATATTTATTTTGTTATGTTGAATATTTCAGCAAACTTTCATATATCCAATGATCTGATTAATTCATTTGCAGTTAGAGATTTTTAGAACATTTGCGACCACTTAACATTTGATTGTAGATGATTTTTGATGCCATTGTTAGTGCTTTAATTGTGTTTGTTAAAAGATGAGTAAGTCGAGGCATTGTTTTATCTTACCCATTCTGTTCACCTCTCTAGTAGCGGCATCTGTTCACCTATAATTCCTGGAAGTGAATGAACTTTTCTGACGAAACTGTAACGAGAGAAAACAAACAATAAATGGTTGTCTGATTTCACACAAGTCCTCTACGTTTGCTTTTTGTTTGTAGACCACTAATATATCGCCAACGATAACCACTAATTTCCATATTTAGCTCATCTGACCGAAAGTCAAGTGATCTTATGTCATCATGGTCATGGCCTGTTTGTCAGTACCAAATCTGTGCTAATGGGTTTCAACAAAGTGGAACATCCCTGCAGTCTTTTCTCCAACATCAAGATGACATGCCGTGGTATAACTGGAATACTGTTCAATGTGGCGTTAAACTCAGTCAGTCAGTCAGTCAGTCATAGCCAGATGTGTTGTTGGCCATCCATCTTAAACATCTTCTCAGACACCGCTGGACCACTGAAGCTGATACTTCACATGCTCATTCCCATCAATGGTGACGCACCAATTTTTCAAAGAGGTTTGAATCCTATTTACAGCTATTTCTCCAAGGCAGGCATATTGAGAATCCTGCTTATAGACAATTTATATAATCTCTTTTGCATAAAACAATATTTGTTCAAAATGTACTGAAATTTGGTATGTGTGTTGTCAGTAGTTGGGCTCAACATATAAATATATCTTCCGGGTCTTTTTGGCAATGTTTTATGTTTTAACCTTTACACTTCAACATTGCTGAAAATTTGTTTTTTTGGGGGGGGCACAACATGGTCATTTATTTTCAAAATGGAATGAAATGAACATTCTTAGTTGAAAATCGGGCTGAACATATGTTTTGTTTTTCATGACATTTTAGATATGAAGCTTTATTTAACCTTTGCACTTGAACTATGTTTCTCAATTCTCTCAAACAGCATTTCTTTGCACTGTAAACATTATATCAAAAACCACTAGACCAATGAATTGAATTTACATGTTTGTACCCACCATGAGGACACCCCAATCTGTCCAAGAGGTTTGCGGGGACACAAGTTGCCCTGTCGTCTCAGGCACCGCAATTGGCTGTGCAGAGTTGCATTCCTTGAGCACACCTGAATTCTATGTACAAGGGTTTGAATTAGTTGCCCAGTCGTCTAAGGCACTGCAATTGGCTTTGCAGAGTTGCGTTCCTTGAGCACACCTGAATTCTATGTTCATGGGATCGAATTAGTTGCCCAGTCGTCTAAGGCACCGCAATTGGCTGTGCAGTGTTGAGTGCCTTGAGCACACCTGAATTCTATGTTCATGGGATCGAACTAGTAGCCCAGTCGTCTAAGGCACCGCAATTGGCTGTGCAGAGTTGCGTTCCTTGAGCACACCTAAATTCTATGTTCATGGGATCGAATTAGTTGCCCAGTCGTCTAAGGCACCACAATTGGCTGTGCAGAGTTGCGTTCCTTGAGCACACCTGAATTCTATGTACAACAAGGGTTCGAATTAGTTGCCCAGTCGTCTAAGGCACCACAATTGGCTGTGCAGAGTTGCGTTCCTTGAGCACACCTGAATTCTATGTACAAGGGTTCGAATTAGTTGCCCAGTCGTCTAAGGCACCGCAATTGGCTGTGCAGAGTTGCGTTCCTTGAGCACACCTGAATTCTATGTACAATGGATCGAATTAGTTGCCCAGTCGTCTAAGGCACCGCAATTGGCTTGCAGAGTTGCGTTCCTTGAGCACACCTGAATTCTATGTTCATGGGATCGAACTAGTTGCCGAGTCGTCTGAGGCACCACAATTGGCTGTGCAGAGTTGCGTTCCTTAAGCACACCTGAATTCTATGTACAAGGGTTCGAATTAGTTGCCCAGTCGTCTAAGGCACCGCAATTGGCTGTGCAGAGTTGCGTTCCTTGAGCCCACCTGAATTCTATGTACAAGGGATCAAATTAGTTGCCCAGTCGTCTAAGGCACCACAACTGGCTGTGCAGAGTTGCATTCCTTGAGCACACCTGAATTCTATGTACAAGGGTTCGAATTAGTTGCCCAGTCGTCTAAGGCACCACAATTGGCTGTGCAGAGTTGCATTCCTTGAGCACACCTGAATTCTATGTTCATGGGATCGAACTAGTTGCCCAGTCGTCTAAGGCACCGCAATTGGCTGTGCAGAGTTGTGTTCCTTGAGCACACCTGAATTCTATGTACAAGGGATCAAATTAGTTGCCCAGTCGTCTAAGGCACCGCAATTGGCTGTGCAGAGTTGCGTTCATGGAGCACACCTGAATTCTATGTTCATGGGATCGAATCCCGGGTCACCCAATTGTTTCTAGGTTTGTCAGCACCAGACCCTCGTGGGCTTCACCAAAGTGGTAAATGTCTGAGAATGTATCACATCGAACTTTCCTCCCACAGCTGGCACGCTGTGATATAACTGAAATGCTGTTCAAAACTGTACTGAGCTCAAATTTGCTAACTTACTCAAGAGGTTCGAATCTCATCTACCTCATCAGCCATGTTGAAAAATCTGTGTATGGTCCTTACTGTGTCATTTGTGTTCAAAACGTAAGGGGCAGACGGATAGCCGAGTGGTTAAAGCGTTCGGTCGTCACGCCGAAGACCAGGGTTTGAATCCCGACATGGGTACAATGTGTGAAGCCCATTTCTGGTGTCCCCCGCCATGATATTGCTGGAATATTGCTAAAAGCGGTGTAAAACCCCACTCACTCACTGAGACTCACTCACTCTCGTCACGATATGGTTGAAATATTGCCGATGTTACGTTAAATATTAACTCACTCACTCACTTGCAATATTTTAGATCTTGACCTTGAACTGATCATCTGTTATCTTCATCAAGAGGGACCGCCTCTGTGGTCTAGTAGTAGAGCGTCCGACAGGAGAGCGGAAGGTCTGGGGTCTGATCCCCAGCCGCGTCATACCAAAAGACGTTTAAAGATAGTACTTGATGTTACCCTGTCTGGCGCTCGGCATTAAGTGGCTAAAACAAGGACTGGTCTGCTCAGAGTAAGTATACTGTGTCTGAGCGGGATATTCATGTAAGACTGCGGCATGGTGTCTCAGTGGACTAGCACTGTAAATTGGCATAGTACAAGCAGACACACATACACACACACTTGCATGCACATCGCTGTATAAATGCAATAATCTTGGACGTAACGTTAAACCCCATTTCACCTCACCTCTCCATTTTTAGTGTTAGAGTTTGGGCCACAGTATTAATGTTGATAACGTATTGATGTTGTTATCATTATGTCTTTCTTGAACATTTTACAGTTGATTACCTAATCCAGGTGAGCTACAGTGCCTAGGCGTTATTTTCTGGAGATATTAATGGAAAAATCACACCGTGAATATATATACTATTTATAGATATAATGTAATATAATGTGTCAGCTATGATCATGGTAATAACGTGACACTATGTAATACAGGTGGCCTGGTTGTGTGAGGATTGGAGTGGTTGTGAGGGTTGGAGTGGTTGTGGTTGTGGTTGTGCTGGTTGTGTGAGGGTTTGGGCTGGTTGTGTGAGGGTTAAGTGGTTGTGTGAGGGTTGGAGTGGTAAAATGCCTGTTCGGGCTGGTTCTGTGAGGGAGTGGTTGTGTGAGGATTGGAGTGGTTGTGAGGGTTGGAGTGGTTGTGGTTGTGCTGGTTGTGTTAGGGTTTGGGCTGGTTGTGTGAGGGTTAAGTGGTTGTGTGAGGGTGGGAGTGGTAAAATGCCCGTTGGGGCTGGTTTTGTGAGGGAGTGGTTGTGCGAGGGTTGGAGTGGTTGTGTGAGGGTTGGAGTGGTTGAGTGAGGGTTGGGGCTGGTTGTGTGAGGGTTGGTGTTGTTGTGGTTGTGGTGGTTGTGTGAGGGTTGGGGTGGTTGTGTGAGAGTTGGAGTGGTTGTGTGAGGTTTGGAGTGGTTGTGGTTGTGTGAGGATTTGAGTGGTTGTGTGAGGGTTGTGCTGGTTGTGTGAGGGTTAGGGCTGGTTGTGTGAGAGTTGGAGTGGTTGTGTGAGGGTTGGATTGGTTGTATGAGGGTTGGGGCTGGTTCTGGGAGGGAGTGGTTATGCGAGGGTTGGAGTGGTTGTGTGAGTGTTGGAGTGGTTTTGTGAGGTTTGGAGTGGTTGTGGTTGTGTGAGGATTGGAGTGGTTGTGTGAGGGTTGTGGTGGTTGTGGTGCTTGTGGTTGTGGTTTGTGAGGGTTGGAGTGTTTGTGTGATGGTTGGAGTGGATGTGTGAGGGTTGGAGTGGTAAATATCTGTTGGGGCTGGTTCTGTGAGGGAGTGGTTGTGTGAGGGTTGGAGTGGTTGTGTGAGTGTGGGGGCTGGTTCTGTGAGGGTTGGTGTGGTTGTGTGAGGGTTGGGGTGGTTGTGTGAGAGTTGGAGTGGTTGTGTGAGGTTTGGAGTGGTTGTGGTTGTGTGAGGTTTGGAGTGGTTGTGGTTGTGGTTGTGTGAGGATTGGAGTGGTTGTGTGAGGGTTGTGGTGGTTGTGGTTGTGTGAGGGTTGTGCTGGTTGTGTGAAGGTTGTGGCTGGTTGTGTGAGGGTTGTGGTGGTTTTGTGAGGGTTGTGGTGGTTGTGTGAAGGTTGTGGTGGTTGTGTGAGGGTTGTGGTGGTTTTGTGAGGGTTGGGGTGGTTGTGTGAAGGTTGTGGTGGTTGTGTGAGGGTTGGAGTGGTGGTTGTGTGCGGATTGGAGTGGTTGTGTGAGGGTTGTGGTGGTTGTGGTTGTGTGCGGGTTGTGGTGGTTGTGTGAGGATTGGAGTGGTTGTGTGAGGGTTGGAGTGGTTGTGGTTGTGTGAGGGTTGTGGTGGTTGTGGTTGTGTGCGGTTTGTGGTGGTTGTGTGAGGATTGGAGTGGTTGTGTGAGGGTTGAAGTGGTTGTGTGAGGTTTGGAGTGGTTGTGGTTGTGTGAGGATTTGAGTGGTTGTGTGAGGGTTGTGCTGGTTGTGTGAGAGTTAGGGCTGGTTGTGTGAGAGTTGGAGTGGTTGTGTGAGGGTTGGATTGGTTGTATGAGGGTTGGGGCTGGTTCTGGGAGGGAGTGGTTATGCGAGGGTTGGAGTGGTTGTGTGAGGGTTGGAGTGGTTTTGTGAGGTTTGGAGTGGTTGTTTGAGGTTTGGGGTGGTTGTGGTTGTGTGAGGATTGGAGTGGTTGTGTGAGGGTTGTGGTGGTTGTGGTGG